CCCTTCAGGCGCTCGAGGAAGCTGTCGAGGACCAGCCCAATCGTGGTGGTCACGCACCGACCTCCGCCTCGCGCACGGGCGCCGCACACAACAAGCGCGCCAAGAAGCAGCGGCGTGCTTCCACGGCGGCGCTCCCCGCTCCTGAGGGGGCCACCACGACGCCTGGCCGCAGGGCGCGTCGCACTGCTAATGCGCGCCGCTGGGCAGGCGCGGCAGGCCCTAGCTCCGCGGCGGGAGTGGGCCCTCCACCGCGGAGCCGCAGCCCTGCCCGCAGCCGTACGCGGTCTCCAAACCCGTACGGGACTGATCATACCTCTCCCTCGGGAGGCGGCTCTCCGCCTCCCGCCGACGGCTCTATCTCGTCTGAGGAGCCGTCGGGGCCGCCAGCGGGGGAGGCCCCAGAGGGCCCGCACACTCCTGAGGGTTCTCCGCCCGCGCGCGCTCGCAGCCGCTCGAGAGCAGAGCCCGCGTGCGCTGAGGACTCCCCGACGGAGCTCGAGGACGTCGTGCTGAGTGCCCTCGCTGACTCCTCGGTGGACCTTGAGCGCGTCGTGGCGGGCCTGAACCCCGAGGTCCTCCTCCGCTTGCAGGCGGCCTTCCCTCGCCGCGCGGAGGCCTCGCCGCCCGCCGCTCACCCCGCGGCTCGCAGCCGCTCTCGGGGCCGTGGCACTCGTGCAGGCTCCGAGACACCGCAGCCTGTCCCGCCGCCGCCGCCACCACCACGCCACCACACTGGTGAGCGGGGGGCGTCGCGCTCCCGCGCGGCGGCCGCAGGCCAGGGGCTTAGTCGAGCGGGCGCGCGCGGCTCCTCGCGTGCGCCTTCTCGTCAGGCGATGTCGCCTGGGCGTCGCAAGGTGCGCTCCCCTCGCGTCGCTCCGAAGCGTCGCCCGAGCCCGACCGCATCGCAGCAGCCTGCCACTCCTCACCAAGCTGCGAGCTCGGGCGCCGCCCTCGCAGGCAGCTCCCGCACGGGCTCCGCTGCTCAGGCCCCTCCGACTTCGGTAGGCATGCGCTCTTCCAGCGATGCTGGTGCGGCCCCGCAGGGAGGAGGGCGTGCCGCCGAAGAAGGGGGGTCTTCGAGCGGCCCCGCGCTTGGCCGAGCTCCAGAGCCCGAGCTGCCTCCCAGCGGCTCTCACAGCGGTGACGCTGGAAGCGCCGCGGCTGCAGCCTTCGCAGCGCGACGCACGGCCTCTGCGGCCACAGAGCAGCCCTTGCCTCCAGGGGCCGCCAGCGCCCTTGCGTGGCGCCTCAACATCGGCGGTGAGAAGATCACAGTGGTGAGGTGGGGACCCGCCTGGCAAGCCGCCTTCCAGAGCGCGGCGTCGTGGCTGAGGTCCTTCGCCCCTGCAGGGGCCGCCGAGCCCGAGGGCAAGGAGGACCTGCACTGCCTCCTGCGGGCCTTGCACGCCTACAAGCGCCTGTTTCAGACGGGCGGCACCGAGCCGATTGATGAGGCCTCATGGATGCATCCTTACGTGGCCGTCGTCGAGCCTGAGGCTATCCCCGCGCATGCTGACCTCCAAGCCATGGGGGCGGGCGCCATCCGTGGCATCGGGCTCGGCTCCAAGATCGAGCAGCGACGGCGCGCGGGCAAACTGGCCTGCCTCTTCGACATGCTGTACCACGTGCAGGACAGTCACGGCACCATCCCCGCAGCGCTGTGGGGAGACCATTCCCCCCCGTCCGAGATCCTCGACGCCTTCGCGGAGGTGGTGCCCGTTCCTCATCATTCGGGCCTCACGTCCTCGGCAGCTCGCTCCGAGCTTGCCGAAGCAGCCGCAGCAGCGCGTGCCGAGCCGCGCCCGCCTTTTGACTGGGCGACCCTCGAGGGAGGGGACGCACTGCCTGCCGAGATCGAAGCAGGAGCTCGCCGTGCCTACCGTAACATGGGTGGCTCCTTCAGCTCGGCGCGGGCAATGTTGGCGGAGGCGTCGGGGTTCGAGACCGACGGGCGGGACGCCCGCGTTCCGCCCTTCTACGCGTCCAGGCGCAGGAGGGCCGCCACGCTGATCAGCTCTCCAAGCCCTGGCCGCCCCGCGCTCCCCCTGTGGTGCGTCTGCGGCCTCTGCATCTCTCTGGGCGCCGCGGCACCGACCGCAGGCCACGGGCTTAGTCGGGCTGCGCCGTCCACGCCCGCTCGCCCCCCGCGCACTCCCTTTGTGCGCGATTCTCACCTCACTCCCGCGTATCTCGACCGTCGCTCGAGATCGATTGATGCCTTCGAGCTGTGGTTAGCTGAACACACTGGCGTGCCACCCGCCACGCTTTACAAAAGCGGGATACTTCTCGCCCGCTTCCTCGCCACCTTCGGCGTGTGGCTTCATGATGCAGGCTTCCCTCATTATATCCTGGTCCATGCCATCTTGGGAATCCAAAGCGCCCATCCGCATTGGAAGGCTTTCCTGACAGAAGCTTGGGACGTAGCGAAGCAATGGAAGCTCGCGGAGCCGCCAAAGCTCCGCCCCCCCTTGCCACGCGCGCGGCTTCGCGCCATGGTGGGGCTCTGTCTAGCCTGGGACTGGCCTGTGATGGCGGCACTGCTGCTCATGGGCTTTACGATGTTCCTCAGGCCGGGCGAACTGCTGGCGTCACGCCGCTGTGACTTGTCGCTCCCATGCGACCGTCTCGAAGTTGAAGGGGATGCTTTTCTTTCGATTCTTGTTCCAAAGACCAGAAGAACGTACCCGACGCAACATGCTCGCTGCTCCGATCGGGGCACGGTGAAGGTATTGAATCAAGTGTTTGGG